ACCAGGAGCAGCAGGTTCATATCTCATACCTTTATTCAAAATCTCATTTATGTATAGAATTAGGACCTATTGTGTACTTATATGGTGTTTGGCCGCCTTTTTCTTTTATAGAATATGTTACCGACCCAACTTTCATTATTTTTGGCTTGTATACTATCCTTCTTGCATGTTTGCATGCTTAAATCATTTTTACTTGTTTATTTCTTGTTGATTTAGGATGTTACGAATAAGGACCTTAGAATTAAAAATTTTCTACTCAAAATCTTAACAATAAAAGATTGAGATAGTCAAAATTTTAGAATTAGAATTGTCTGTACTTCCAACAACTTGCTTTTATTTTCCTGCATGGCGTTTGGGTCGGATTTTAAACGAGTTGCATAACATTGATTGTCACCCAAGTCATAATTAATAAGGCCTCCATAAAATTTAAGGATCGTGTTAGATAACTGCATCATCTGCATGTCCCAATGAGAAGCCCCTGTGCTTCTCCAAACCCAACTGACTCATCATAAATCCTACTTAGATAGTTGTCTAATGCAATTAGGGTGTTGGAGGCTTCCCCGACCTAGATAGGGATTAAGTCCAATTATTGGGAGTGTTTAAGATTTGGTGCTGAACCTCCCTTTTCTCTTCTTTCCAGCGACATTCATGCCACTTCGACGGGTATAAGTCCCACACCTCTTGGAGCTTCACCTGATATTTATAGAATATAGTTTCATTCCTTTGACTTTAAGACTGCCTAGATTCTCGTGAACGACACAATTCATAGATTGCTGACCGGGAATCTTTAGACAAGTTGGGTTGACTACCTTCAAAACTAGGTAGACATATGATCCTAGTGGCTTGGGATGCAGGTGCATTGTGCCCTGACCTAGCAACCTATACTCGTTAGAGATTACTCCTCCCCTCCTTTAACTACCCACGTTGAGCCCTGTCACTCCTCTTGATGTCATTTATATCATCTTGATGATCCGATTACCAATGAGTTGTTGTCCGTTTGGAATACAACGAATTGGCGTATTAGGATTCCCCATCAAGATGACTTGGTTATTTCATAGGTTACGTATGTCGATGAGTCTGTTACCCATGTTGGACTGTGAGAGACTCACTCTCCGCTCCGTGGCTTAGCACAAGTTTTGAAAGCATCAAAGCATTCCCATGCGAAATAACTATCCATTGATAGCCCTGTGTTATTCGTCACCACTAATGTAAGCAAAACTTTTTTGAATCATAAGTATTATTAGACAAACCTCAAGATGTAATTAACCAAGTGAGATATGTCTCTTTGGAAGTACTCTAGACCCCATAATAGGCAAACACACCTAAATATATGGTTATGGGTAGTCTAAGTAAGTACTATTTCTTGGATATTGGTTATGGCGTTTTCCCCGATCTTTTTTGGGCGGACATACTTAACCTATTTTTGCAAGGTTTATTGCACGTAGACTCTTCAAGCTTTCTTTCTCTTATTTGTCGTCATTTTTGTATGTCTGTCTTTTTTGGTTTTCCTCTTCTCATGATCATTCACATGTTCCAGAAACGAGACTTATTCGAAAAAAATGAAGCATACGAAGATTGACAAATTTGCGTCTCCATTAAAAATAAAAAGATAAAAGAACGGAAACAGACACATCACTTGAAAATAGATATGCGACCTCCAAATATCATCTTCTTCTTTTCCCTAACCTTTTTTTTTTCTCCTCACCGTTTGGGAAATCCGAAAGGCATGGGATGAGGATTCAAGAAACTGTTTCCTGAATTTTATATGAAAAAGTGTCAAGGAAGATTTATATGTAATTATTCAAATTATTTGATTTTATTTTCAAACTCTAAATAAAAATATTTTATATCTTAAAATTTAGAAAAAAAAAAATTCAAATAAAAAGTTATAAGATGGGTTATCATGTCTAAGACATTTTAGCAAAAACAATTTGTCAAACGGATATTAAACAACTATAGAAATAAATTTATGCTCGAACATACATATTGCTTTAGAAATGACAATTTTATCATTAACTTTTTATTTTTATATTTATATTTATTATAAAAATATAGAAAAATCATGGTAATTGAAATTTATCATTCTCTATATTTTAGTGAAGACGATTTGTAAATCGAGCTTATAACAGACTAAAAAAAATTATTCAAAGTTTAGAGATTAAATTTTGATTATATATATATTTTTAGTAATTATTTATTTTTTATTAATCAATTATTTTAAAAATGATTTAATGGCCAAAATAATATAAAAATGCATATTAATAGACATAGTTAATCATTCATTAATAAAATATATGATCGAGTATTGTGGTTGAGTCTCATACAATCTCCCATCCTTACAAAAATATTGTCCCCAACATTCCAATACTTGCAACTTAATTTTTTAATAAATCTGGGTATAAATATCTCATTAAAGACTATTTTTCCCAAGTCGCCCCTTATTTTTATTATTTAGTATGATCAAATATAAAAATTTTCAATTATAAATGAATGAATTACACCAAATCAAAGAGAATATTTCAAGTTTGATTGAACATAAAAGTTATGCCTGTCACCACATTAAATGCATTCTTCACTTCTTGTTGAGTCAAATTATCAATTATGGCTTGCATCAAGTTTGACATATTTGAAGTAGTATAGTCCCTTTGATTTTCACCAATATTTATAAATGTAGTCCTACCTCTTACCATGTTTCCAGACCCTTCACTGTATGCTTTAGGTGATACAGTCCTTTGTCTCTTTGCTTGCATTGAATGATCTAATATAGACTCACATTTTCTCAAGTTTATTCTGAGGGAAATCCACAATCTTATGTCCAAAAAAATCCACATATAAAACATTATCCAGTAATTAACATTGTCATGAGTGTTTTCTCCCACAAGTAGCACATGCTGATTTATTACTAACAGACACTACAGAACCCTTATTCGAATCTTCTGATCTAATCCTACTTTTCTTTCCACTGAAATTATGCTCAATCATCTCTCCATCAAATCTCTTTTTACGCATATCAAACCTCTATTGAGATACTACATTTCACTCTTTCCACTAACTCTGAAAACCTTGAATCCTCGGTGAAACCAGTGGATGTCTCCAATTATCTTTGAGTCCTCTCAAATCCTCAATGCTTGATGACATGCATTTAATTATATTGCTACTATTGTGATTTGATACAATATCATGATTAATGTCTTATAGTATACATATACATATTTAGTGGCCTTTAAACTAACTTGTTTAGCATATATGACATGATTATGTTACAATAATACATATTACTTTATTTTCATGCATTGATTTCAATTGTAGGTTTTGTGCAACTTACTGAGCTATGGTTGCTTATTCTTGTTATTTTTACATGTTTTCAAAGAAACGTAAGAATTCAGTGGAGTGAACTGATAGTACTTGCTGATTGCGATATATTTTATATATGTATTTTATGATTATCATAAATTTATATGTTTTGTTAGAATTATTATAAAATCATGATCAATGTATATAAATATTTTGGATATAAATAATTTTGATGTATATAAGAAAATTGAGATGATGATGATCGTTAGTTTTATTTTTTATACTACTATTGATGATTTACTGAAAAAATAGAAGAAAAAAGAAATTCATTCCAAATAGGGCTTAGGATAAATAATTTATTGCGTATTCGACTCATCAAGACACTCAATTTGACTATAAGCTTATCAGATTTGTGATCAGTTTGACCTTCCAATTGGAAGCTAGATGCATTCAAACATGGCTTAATAATTCAATCTATGCTTGAATTGATTTGGATTGGACCAATTTTGGTGTTATCGTGTTTGCCTTGTCGAGCCAATCAGTTTGAGACTAAGTTTGCTAAAATCAAATTTCTTGATGCTTTTTAATTTGAATGTCTCTTATTTTAAAAAAAAATTATGATATTCATATTAATCATCTCGAGATTCATGTCAAATGAAAAAAAAATTTGTTGGTAACCTATCAATGATGCATAATATTCAAATTTGATTCAAATCTATAAATAAGGGACAATGGGAAGAGTTGAGGTTTACTAAATTTGGCCCAATCTCTTGTCCTTAAACTTATTATAATCAAATTCAAGATATTCTTCCTCAAAATCCTTTCTCTATACATACATGTTATCCTGTTTCAGCCATACCAGCAAGTAAAACTTTGGTGTTTAGCAAAACTTTAGTGTAACTAAGATTAATTTTAAATAAAAAAATATATAATTTTTAATGAAACAAAAAGAATGTTATTTTCTAAATAATGATATTTATGAGCCACATTTATTTATAAGAAGAGTTACATACATATCACTTAATTATTATATATTTATATATTTAATATTTAAACTTCAGTTTTTTTTTTACATATTTCTCAGCTAATCCAAGGCTTATTTTACATTTAAAAGTTAAAATTATAATATTTTGATGTAATATGAAAGAATTGAATGTAGGGTTGTCTCAATGGTTTGTTGTTCGCGAACAGCTCGTTAAGAAGCTCGTGTTCGACTCGCTCACTAAGTTAAAGAGTTGAACACGAATAAAAATTTGTTTGTATGCGTTTTGCTCTTTTTGACTCAAAATACTACGGGTAGTATTTTTAAAAAAAATTAATTGACTAGAAGACTACAGAGATTTATAATCAATTTAAACTATTAATTAAAAAAAAAGAATAAAAACAAGTAAATTAGATTTAAATGATATTTTAATATAAACAATAATTTTTAAATCTTGCACAAACTCTTATTATCTTATGGCTAAATGGTTAGGGTTGTCAAAATGACTATTCGTTCATGAACAACTTATGTTCGACTTGTGTTTGTCTCGCTAAGCAAATGAGCCGAACACGAACACATTTTTTATGTTCAAAATATAAATAAGCTGAGCTTGTGCTCACTCGGTTCATTTACACCCCTAATTGAATGATAACAAAAACAAAAACCAAAACTGAATAAAAAAATCATACGTACATACACATTCTTCTCCATGTATTTGGGCGGTAGTGCGGTTTATATGCAGCCAAATTTCCTGAAGTACATAATCAACCAAGAAACGAACTCGCAGCGACCCCCTTTTCTATTCGTAATCTATCACTCTACTCCGTCTTCTTCTCCGACGCAGTGCTGTTTAAGCAACCACTTCCATGGGCAAAAAATTAGACCCAGGATCATACGATCCCCTGATTTTGCCATCCTTCATCTCTAATCCCGATCTCTTTCAGTTTCAGTGTTCCAATCGCTATTACCATCGCCAATATATTTCCATTTGTTCAAGTTTCTAAATCGCGCTTGCTTTTATCGAACAGTCGGAGGGGAGATCTTTCGATCATGTTGGAAATTTTGTCATGCAATTGGCGATTTCATTTCCAGCACTCACGTCGAAGTGTTTTAGCGGTGGTTTCCGCTCACAAGGCCCTCTTCACTTTGCTCTGGATTGTAGGGTTCTCCTCCTTGTTCTTGTGGCAGAGGAGCGCCGTCGAGGGGATCCAGATCTTCTTATGGGCGGCTTGGCGCCCCCCTGGCACGGCGTTGCCGATGCTTCGACCAGTGGTGTTCAACCTGACGGACTTCGGTGGGGTTGGTGACGGAATCACGATGAATACTGAGGCGTTTAAGCGAGCGGTGGCTGCGATCTCCAAGTTTGAGAAGCGAGGCGGGGCGCAGCTGAATGTGCAGCCTGGACGCTGGCTTACTGCCCCCTTTAATCTCACCAGCCATTTGACCCTCTTTCTCGCGGAGGGTGCCGTTATTCTCGGGGTTGAGGTGAGCGCTTCTCAATCTTGCCTAATTTTATTTTATCTGTTGGAGCTACCATCCGTCCTTTCTATGGCGACTCGCGCTGTTTTGATATTTTTCATTCATCCGTCATGATAGACCAGATTGGGAGAGTATTTGATCACGGAAACTGTAGTAGAGGAGCATCTAAACTTACTCTTTCAATTATCATGGCACTTAAGTGCAAGCTAGTCGGATCAAGATGTCTATGGTAACTGCCATAGGAATATATATAGTATACTGTTTTTTCTTTCAAATCTTGTTAGAGGAAATGAAGGAAATGTTATGCCAGGCAAATGCAAATTCATTGACCATTGTGTACTATATTTTTAAGATGCAGATCACGGCTCATGCACATGGTACCTGATGCCCATGTAAGAATTTATTGATCGTGGCTCTGGAGAATTTTATGAAGTCCGAGTTTGCATGCTTATGTATAATGTTTTTTCCCATTAGGAAAAAAAAAACACCCTTTAAATCTAACTTTCACATGTCCGAGAGTGTTATCCATACCATTATAATAAATGTGTTATTTTCTTGCTTAAGGTTGTCTCATTTGCTTGAAGTTGTTATCACATGGCAATTTTGCTTGTATAAGGGAAGTGCATTCTTAGTGAAGAAGGCTCTATCAATGAGAGTATGAGGTGGGATTTCACACAATCTTACAGCTACATCACAGACACTTAATTTTGATCGAACCAATAGCCTCTACATCAAGTTTGAAGCAGCGTAGTTGTTGCTCCTGAGGTTGCCTCTATTACATTCTTGAAAAGAACATGAATGAATAGTAATCTCTTACTCAATCTAGTGCACATAAATTGGACTGCAGTTAGCTTCCTTAACTGCAAGCCTTTTATTTTTGCTAGAATATATGGTCATTCCAATGAGATATACAGGATTGAACCCAATGTAATTCCGATGCATGTCAGTTCTTGAAAGGCTGACTGGTATGGTTTTCAAATGGATAACACCATACAAAAAAAACTTGACTAAAGAATCTATACAACTCGTTACATAAACCTTGAGGAAGTTAATCACAGTTAAAAAGTTTGTGGCTATACTTTTTAAAGACATTGTTCACTAAGGAATTTTTTTGTCTTTCAACATCTCTAATATTTTGGAAGGGATGACTTGATGGCAGCAATGGAATTTTTCTATTTGATTGATCTTATAAAAATGAGATTTCTAGCTAGTTACAACATTAAAGTTATAGATTTATCAAAGGTCTTGAATCAAATGCGCCGATACTTCTAAGTGTTTTTTTTTGAGTCATCTATGATATTTTAGGTGATTTACATTAGGTAGGAGTTCATGAAGTTCTCACATTTGTATTTTTTTATGTATGGAAGTTCATGGAAATCATGTTTTCATCATTTCACCAATTAATGTTATAAGTATTTATGCTCCTCATGTAGGTTTAAATATAGATTCTAAAGAAAAATTCCGAATTGACCTACAACAACAACAACAACAACAAAGCCTTAATCCCACCACGTGGGGTCGGCTACATGAATCATTTTTCTTCATTGCGTCCTATTTAGTGTCATATTTTCATTTAGTTCTAGTAAATTAAGATCATTTTTAATACAATAAGCACAAGTCTTCCTAGGTCTACCTTTGCCTTTCTTAACACAAGTCGAATTTAAAACATCTACTCTCCTAATCGGATCATCTAATGGTCGACGTTTAATATGACCAAACCATCTAAGGCGACTTTCTCTAATTTTGTCTGTCACAGGAGCTACACCAACCCTATCACGAATATATTCATTCCGCATTTTGTCTCTAAGTGTAAAGCCACTCATCCACCTAATCATTCTCATCTCGGCAACACTTAACTTATTATTATGCTTCTCTTTTAAAGGCCAAC